ATTTGTTTTCTACTTTGCCTATAAATAAGCATTTTATGGGCTATATCAATATGTAGGCTTAGTTACAGGACTGATCAAGAAGAGATGCTCAGTTGCAAGTAACATAAGCATTTTATGGGCAATCATACTTCTAGGGGCGGAAAGGCAAGTGGAGAGGCAAGACAACACTGAAGATGCGAATTCATTTGTTTACTATTTTTACCCAGTAAGGAAGGTAATGAGTAATGACAGACCAAGAAAATAGCACATTGGTAAGGAAGGTAATGAGTAATGACAGACCAAGAAAATAGCACATTGGATGCTTGGTTTCTGAAAATCAAAACCTAGCAGCAGCACTCGAAAATAGTTCAAGGTATATGTGATACAAAATCATGCAAACTTTCATAAGAATCAACACCGGAAGCAGTTAGCACATATGATCCCCTTAAAAAAGTGTGGAAAGTAGAACCTTCTCCATAGAGTCAAGCCCAATATGATCCTCATGAAACCAGTCCTCACAAATACAGCACTGTATCATTTCAACTTGCTCCTTGGCTTCTGGATCAGGATAGGGCCTACTGCATGTGCAGTAGGAACCCTTGAAGTTCTGATTATAAGAATTTGCTGGATTTTCAGGATCTTTCTCAGGACTAAGTTTGCAGAGGTGACCTCCAAACTTTGAGTTGCCACAGTCACAACGAAAATTTCGCTTCGTCCAAAGTTCAACAACCTATAGAAAAAAACAGGACAAACTTTCCAGGCATTAGTTCTATGCACAATTACAGATGAGGTTGCAGAAGATAGTAACTGGGAAGTCATCATGCTACATTTCCTAACTTCTATGTATGCAAATGAGAAACACACTGATTGGGAGAAAAAATCAAAACAAAATTATTACAGGTGATCTCATGAACCAATAACACAACACCATATTTTCTGCTAAAAAATATCAGCGTACTGAAAAGCATGGCATTGCCTGGTCCGATCTAACAGATATTACCAAAAACAAGATTCACCCCTAATTTTATATGTATCAACCTCCTGAATAAATTATCTACACCAGCAATAAATATGTGCACAATTTCAGCCTGGAGATGTATTTTAAAATTGTGTCATTCAAAGCTGAGAAGTGGATAAACCCATACAAGTCACTATCTAAGCACCATGGCAATTTTTGCAATGGTCATTGTAAAATACCAGGAAGGTGCTTAGTAAACTGGGATCGTAGGTTGACTGACTAGGATACTTTAATGCTAACTATTGTATGCTCCGTCAGTCGAACTAAACAAAATAAATCTCAAATGCACTGGCAGCCTTGCATGCACTTCATACGCAGCATAAACACTTCGGTTCTGGCAAAAACTTCACTGCTAGGAGCCTAGGACACATGACTGCTAGTAAAGCACCGAAAACCATGAACAATCTAGAGAACAGCATGTCTCAGCTCAGTACACTACTTAAAAACGTTTATGTATTAATGCCGATTCAGGTTCACCATAAAAAAATTTGCCCCTCATACACAACACATCATCAATCGGGAACAACAACACAAAGTTACTCGCAGGAAATCCAGATCCACATTTCCCCCAATATTAATCCTCCCCATTTCGTCAGCTGCTCACTTCTCAGGCCCCCTGTGAACGCTGATCCGGCTTTGTACTAGTAGAACTAAAGTTCAAGCGAACAGGAAATCTCCATTTAAAGCAAATGGCGTTCGAGAAGACAGGAGGGGATCACCTCGTGGCCGTCGTGGCAGGCGAGGCAGCAGGCGGTGCAGACCCCGGCGACGCCGTCGGGCACGCAGGTGAGGCAGGAGAAGACGGCCTGGCGCTTGAGGTAGCCAGCGTCGTAGGTGCACTCGTTGCCGTCGTCCCCGCCCAGCACCAAATCCGCCTCCTAGGGTTTGGCAGACAAAAAGGTGAGCACCGCCAGATCGAGCTAAAAAAACGGCGGCGAAGGGCGGGAGCGCGTGGGGTGTTGGGTTACCAGCTCCTCGGCCTCGATGCCTTCCATGTACTCGCTGATGGTGACCGTCGGCTCCACCTCGTCCTCGAAGGCGGCGTCGGTCCCGTCGCCGGCCATGGCGGGCCTAGGGTTAGGGTTTGGTGCGGGGGATTGCGGAGCGGAGGCGCTGGGCTGGCGTGCGTGCGGGCGGGCGGGCTCGCGCGAGATTGGGGTTTGGGGGAGAGTTTCGGGGAGAGCAGATATGGGAGGGATGGCGGAGGCGAGATTTTAATGCGTTTTTTCGCCTCCGCGAATCTCCGTGAGCGAGGTGAGACCGTGACGCGGATGGGGAGTGAGGACAGCGGGCGCGGCTGGTTTAGGCTAGAGGGTGGCTGAGATGTGGGGCCGGGCCACGCGTCCGGTGGGTGGGTGCGGCATGTCAGTGGGGAGATTGCGCTCGCTGGATGTTTTTTTATTATTTTTATGGAATATTTCTGTTTTGTTTTTAGAGGGCGGGAGGTGCGGCTTTTGGTTTCCCGCCACATCGGCTGGGCGGCCGCGGAGCTGGCCGTCGCAGGAAGCAACGCGAACAGAGTATGTTCTCCTCCCGAAGACACGCTGCTACACGGACCTGCCTCCGTCTTTCATCACGAGACAAGACAATAATAACCAAGATCATGGTAAATCTACAAATCCCACCGGCATAATTGTACCTCTTACCAAATTATACAGTGCAGATATTTTCTAGATTTATTTCAGGTTTTTCGACACTTTTTTTTTAGAAGTCTTGGAATTACAAACACATCCTTACAAAAGAAAAATACATCGAGATCCTTGGGGATACTGCAAAGACCCCCTTTTCCGGTCGGCCGCATCGATACGGTGTGTCCATGGTGAGGGTTGGGCTCGGATGCTGGGGCAGCAGCCCATTTGGTGGAAGCCGAGGTGCTCGTGGGCGGAGCACGCGGCTCGGGCGTTATCCGGTCACCATGGGCGTGTGGGCGGCATGATGGCCGGGGTGTGTCGTTCAATGGCGGTATTGCGGTTGTCCGTAACCCATTTTGGTGATGGTGAGTGTTGGACAGGGTGAAAACCCGCTCTGACTTGTTAGGCCGGCGGCGGCGTTTTGGCATCTGTCACCTTCTTGAAGGCGTCTTTGCGGTATCTAATTTTTCGTCGTGGTGCTCCGAGGGAAACTCTAATCCTTGGATTGGGCGGTGGCGATGCTACGGTGTTGTTCCCTTTCTGAAGGTGCCGTCTTAGAGCCTATTGTTCGTCATGCACGACTTCTCATCACGATGGCTCATGGCGGGACCCGACGACTTCATAGTAGCACTTAGTGTTTCACCTGATGTTTGCTTGGAGTTTGTTGGGGTGGTGTTGCTGTTTTCAGTGTCCTTGTATCCAGTCTTGGGCATGTTGGTGTGGTGGTGTGCTGTGTGTGTTTGTATCGACTTGTTCGGTGATGGTTGCTTTGTATATAAAGCCGGAGGGGGGGAGGGAGGGGGAACTTTTTTCGTCAATCCGACTGGGACCAGGAAGATCTATCGGAGACATACCTCCACACACCCTTCACCGGCATGGTGGGACGGGGATAACACAAGGAGGACATTATTCCAAACTGGCAAACGTCACTGCCACATCGCCCTGACCAAGACACGGAGGCTCCTAAAACTAGCCTAAACAAAGACGCCCACACCGTTGTACGCCAAAAACGGGCTAGAGGTTGAGCCTGTCCTCTTGCCGGCCCAACCAAGACACAGAGACTAACTAAATCGACCTAAAAGAAAACGCCCACACTGTACAACGCCAAAAGTCCAAAACCGGGCTAGAGGTCGAGCCCACTGCCATATAATACCCCATCTATAGGGACCTTCGAATGTCGTCGACACATGCAACATTGCTGGCGAGCGACATCTATCCAAAATTGTCGCCGCCACCTGCCCCGATCCTCCACATCAAACTCCATTGTGGACAGATCCTCCGATCTCCCCACCGTCGTCGCCGTTTCGCGGGCTTTTCCCTTTGGTGGCGGTGAGAGGGGTTGGAGAAGCCGGAGGCGGCTAGGTCTTATGTGTTCGCGAGTCATGAGAGATTGCCTCGTACGCCTCAACGCTATTATTTTAGTGGTATGGCATGTCCGTCGAATACGACATGCCTAAGGCAACTCTGTCAATCTTAAGATCTTTTTTAATGTCAAACTGTGACAGAGTTTACAAAAACGTGAATATTTACAATATGAAATGTATAACGTATGAAAATATCTCACAATGATTCTAATGATGTTGATTTGTAATGTAACATTGATAAATTTTATATACATTTGATCAAAGTTCAATAAATTTGATTTTGAAGAAATTTTAAATGCACTATAATTTGACAAAGGAGTACTTACTACAACGAGTATTTCACAACCTAAAACAAGAACCGCTATTCTGATGCAAGGGAGCATGTGGCCATAGGTACTTTTTAATGGCGATGTATTCTGATGAGGCAATTCAATGGTTGAAAATGGAGCGATGTAGCCGTTTCTTATTGGTGCAATAACACAAGTAAGGGCATGCTTGGTTTGTGGACTAAGTACCACATCATCAAACTTTAGGCAATGTCAATCAGCATGTGTCCAGTTCATTGCCACAATATGGCTTGTCACACTTTTTTAGTTGTTTAAGTTTATTCCATGGGCTCAGTTTTCGCATGTATAGTTCAAAACTCGCTCCGTTCACTATTATAAGATGTTTTGGATATTTTCATATGGACATCATACAAACTGGAATGACACATTACAATGTGTCTATATACATTTGATTCAGACAAAAGAAGTCAGAACATCTTATAATAGTGAACGGGGGAGCACGTTAGAAGCTCATAACATAGCAGGTCCTGGTACTTGCACCACGAGAACTCACGCAACAATGAAACATCATACATGTTACAGATAAGGGAAACACATCACACATCCCCTTCTGTTTGCTCCTTTATTCACCAACTGCAACACACCATACACATTTAGTGATATTACACCCTCAGTCGTGTCACGCAACTATGCTAGAGCACCACACAATCATGTAACTATTGAATAAAATTTGGTAGCAAAGGACAGGCGTGGAACGTGGATATACAGATGCGGCGGGTCTCATCGGGGAAGATGGATAGCACACAGGTGTCCGCCCGCGGTCTAGGAAGCGGTAATAGCGCTGTCCCGCATTACCTTCATCTTCACTGGTTTTGCGGTTGGCTTCTCCGGTCTCTCCTGTCATGGGTTGAAATAGCAAGAGGACCAATGAGTATTCCATTGCAACAATCTGAATTTACTAATCTGCAGGGTTTTTTTCCCCTGTGAATCACTAGTCTGTAGATCGACAAGAACTCATTTGCATGTCAAGTCTACTTGTTAGACATCAATGCTGTTTGCGAGGGATGAAAAATACAAAACACTGTAAGGTCTCAAAAGTCTATCAAAAATCAAAATGCACAAGGGAAGAGATAACTATATAACTTACCTTTTCAGTGGAAGAGTTATATGCCTCCAGCTCCCTCTTTACAAACGTTGGCAGAATAAAAGCAGCCTTATGAATCTGTTAAACAAGTAAAAAGACGAGTTGATGTCTAACAAGTAAAATTATTAAGCAAAAGAACAACCGAGGGGCTGTCAAAGGCAGAGGGCGAAACCTCTGAATTGTAAAATCTCATCTCTCGTCCATCTTTAGTAGCTCCTTCAATTTTCTCGATTGGATTCACAGGAGTTAAGAAGTCCACCGGTGGACCTTCCTTCGCACATAGCAAAAATCCAATGACACCACTACAAAATTAAGTATTTCGATGGTTAGCTATATATATATATATATATACACACACACACACACACACACATGAAATGGGTACGCATATAAACAATGAGCAGCTACAGCTAACTGATAAATTACTTATACTCTGGACCACCAAATGTTAGGAAAAGGAAAAAACATATGCATCTCCGACATCGGAGTGCCACAACATGCAGTGAGCAGAGTCCACCTGCTAAAATGGAGATAGTGGTAAGGACTAAGGAGTATCCTAGAACTAGAAGGGTCAGTATGCTAATTGACTAACCGACAACCTATTTCTCCATTCAGTTCGCACAAGAACACTAGTAACTTATAATAAGTATTTCAAACGATCGATCTTTTTCCAGCTCCTGCTCAACCTCAAGAAAATTAGCTCAAAGTTTAGGACGTTTTGCCTACACTACTTTCAGTGCCAACAGCAGCAACATTAACTTGGTTGCAACAGATATATAGACGAAAAAACCTTACATTCTGTAATTGACGAAAATATGAGCATGATATCATCTCAACTGTGGACTGTGTTTTTCATATTATTTTTCTTTCAGGATGCTTCACAGGTAGTGCTACGATATAATTGGGTGTGACTTTGTATTCCCAAATACGCTAGTTTCTAAGTATTCAAGATTTCAGCAGAAACTGAACAATAAAATAAGCATGCATAAAATATAACAACAAATGGATACATCGAAGATAAAGGAGAAAAGGCTAGAACAGATGATGCAAAGAAGTAGAGCACCTAGGATATGTTGGAACACTTGCCCAGGCATAGTGCACGCCACCCTTGAATACCTCTCGACAGATAGAAAGCATATCCTGGATTAGATGTGTGTGCAGCCACATACTTTCAGCTAGATTAGAAAGAACACCGCCAGGCTTTAAAGCCCTAGCAATTGTCTGAAAAAAGGGCTTCTCCACAAGTTCCTGAGCTGGCCCTGTAAATGTGACGTGAAAGAAAATTTCAAGTATCTAAACAAAAGAATCATGTAAGTCAACCCTACAGGAATGAAATTTTGATCTCCTTAATAAAATTAAAAGGGCTGCAGGTATGGTGTAGTAATAGCAAGAACTCACCAATTGGATCTGATGAATCAACAATAATGGCATCATATTTTCCTTCTGGAGAGTTTCTCAAGAACTCCACAGCTGCAAAACAAATGCAAGTTTGCTGTGAAATTTACAAAAGTCAAGACCAGCAGTCATCAGACGTGATGCCAAGTTTGAGATGCTATATAAAAAAGGGATTATGCCCTATGATCTGTTGAACATTATATAGAATAACTCTTTAACATACCATCACCAACATGAAGTTTG